CCTGTTAAGTACACAGGTCTCATTAGATCTAGATCTAGTAATTATTCAGGTTCAAATACATGCAAGTCAGTAAGGCACCTTTTGGTTTTGTCTGAAATACAAATACTTTAGGCATTGCAAACTAAAATTAGACCTCTACCCCTAGATCTACCCCTATCCCTTCAATTCTCTTATTCTGCTCTGTCTCATAGTCATAGTGGTCGCTCGTTACGGAAGTCCTCCCCAATATTCAATGGCCACCTCTATGCAGGCGAGTCTTTTGGCTATTCTCACCTGGTGTGCGTTCACCGTTATAGCCTCGATCTAGGCCAACCAATTTTGCGTTCACCCTGAACCACAAAATTCTACAACAGAAAAATTTTAGAATTCTGTGCCATGAGCAAACGTTCCATTACTACTGTTAGCCTAAAAGTGTACAGTTTTCTCTTTGGGCAGTGGAGAGAGAAAGAGAGAGAGAGAGAGGAGTAGCTAGAGTTCAGCTCGATTCGAAATGTGAAATAGGCGTAGCATCTTTGTAGACGACCAAATTAATTTACTTTTGTGTTTTAACATCATTTTTTAACTTTGTTTTGGTCAATTTGATCGTCCACACCGAAAGACAGTAGGTAACCAAGACAGTATTCAGAAAGAGACAGAGAGAGAGAAGAGGGGAGGAGTAGATCTTGCGAGAACTTCCGGGCAAAATAATGGCGACCTGCGTAGTTCGGCTCGATTCGAAAAGTGAAATAGCCATAGATAGCATCTTTGTAGACGATCAAATTAGCTTTCTTTTGTGCTATAACGTAATTTTTTCTTTACTTTTATCCTTTTGATCATCCACACCGATGGAAAGTATTCCGAAATTAGGAAAAACAGGTCATGTTTCATACCGGGTGAGGATAGCCCACGGTGGCAAAAGTCTCACCCGCGGTGAGAGGTCCATCGTATTTTTATTCTCACCCTGGGTGAGGATAGCCACTTCCATATTCAATACCAGAAGTGTGACTAGGTCTAGATTCTATTCGGACTCGAGTCCGATTAGGCAAACAAAAATTGGCGCTTTTTAGGTAGTTCCCAACCTGCAATTGGTATTCGCCGGTTTTGGCCCCAGGAGTAGGGGGGTTTCAGGGGGGCTTGCCCTGATAAGAAAAATTGTGGGGGGTTTCAGGGGGGCATGCCCTTCTGAATTTTACCACAATTTAATGTTTTACAGTTGTTAGGTTTGATATCTTTGCTCGCCGCGCATCAAACGATAGATCTAGATGTAGCTCAGGCTCAAATAGGGGGGTGGGAACTACCGAAAAAACACCCAAAAATTATCGGACTCTGAATCGAGTCCAGCATGAAGCAGATTTTACCTTCCAACTTCGGATCCTTGTTCCAAAATTTTTCCTGCTTTTATAAAGTTTTTTTCAATTCTGTTGATGACAATCGAGGCTGAGACGTTCATGAGCTTTAATATGGCAGATTTCACTGTAAGGGTGTGAGAGACAACACAGCACCGGGTTTGTTTTTTAAATAAAATTCTCCTGTTGTACTGTTTTGTGTTCAATTTGTGTTGTTTTATTGTTTATGGGCCCAATAAACACGTGAATGAAAAACAAGTGTTGATTTTGTTAATTTTGTTTGATATTTTTATTTTGCGTAATGGTGTTACTCAAAGTTACTCACGTAAGGATTTAGACTTAAAGTGTGTTTTGAGATGTTTGCGAGTCTGACAATTTTCGTTTTAAATGGCATATTATGCTACATTTTCTCCAAAAATGGCTGGAACATGCAAGAAGTGTATGTATTTCTAATATGATGTGAAAAAAAGGAAATCTATCATCGGTTTGAAATGGCAATGGACAGAGCGAAATGGTCGTAAGTCACTGAACTAAGTCCGACATTTTCACCCGACGTGAAGTACCAAATATAACATCCAAAAGCGAAATGAATGTAAGTTTTTATGCTCAGGCTACACAATACTCATTTCTACAAATCAGTTTTAGCCGTATTTTGGGAAAAATTGAAGAAATTATTATATTAGTTTCGAGAGTCGTTTGTGAGTAACCCTTCCGCTGAGTCGCCAACATCTAACAGCCGAAATCGGCATTTCTCCATTTTTACGGAAAATCACGAGGACTTTCCGCAAAGCCGAGACTAAAAACTACTTCATTTGGCGCCATTTTTTCATTCTTTAGAGTCCTTTTCGATGAGGTGGATGTTTGTCTTGTTTTCCAAGTTTTTTCTTTCTAAGACTCTAAAGCGCGGAACACTCCAACGTTGGAAACCATTACAAATCCAACCCGATTACTTGTGTTTATCTGTCATATTTAGTATGTTTATAGTATAATGATTGAAAGACTGCAACACAACATGCTGCATGTGTAGGAAGTAAACCAATGACGTTTAGGGACAAAAATGGCACGTTCTTTTTGGTGAATGTTTTGTTTGATGCGGATAATGCTTTGGAGCCGTCCAGATCGTTGCCGATGATGATTTCCTGGTCTTATATAATATAGGCTGTTCCGAGGCTGGGAGACATTTTTTCAACTGATGTCTTTTTCTTTTTTTTCTCTTTCTTTTAGTTTTAGTTATTCTCATTTTTTATTGTTTATTTTTATTTATTATT